GTCCGCATCCCAACCGTCCTGACCACAGTCCGGCCAGGGCTCTCTTGATAACGAGAGATACTTTAGCAAACTCAAGATGTCGTCGAAAGGTGAGTGTTGAAAGATGTCCGCTGCGGTGAACTCCATGATCGGCGCCCAATCGGATTCGATTGGAGGGGGCGCGGGAGGTTCGGAGTTCGGCGAGGAGTCCGGCAACTCGGAGTCACGAGCTTTATGAGGGACAAGATCAGTATTCGGCTCTATCACCGTAGAGGTTGCAGCCCCCGAGGCGGTGTCTAGCCATCCGTCCTCGATCTGCGCAGCCGTCTCCGAATTGAAGATCGGAGCGGGTTCGAGTGCGGCCTCCAGGGTAATGTCCAGCTGCGGAGCTAAATCATGCTCGCCGTGACAGTGCGGCACGCCCGGCTGTGGCTCGAATCCACCGAGGATCAAGTCCCCGCAGATGTCAGCTGTGAAGTTCAAACTTCCAAATCTGACCTGACGGCCAGGGGCGTAGCTTTCGATCTGCTCCAGACGGCCAAGCGAATTGGCCCGCAGTGCAAAGCCGCCGAATACGAAGATCTGTCCGGGGAGAAAGGTCTCACCCGGGACTACGTCGTTGATGATGGTCGAAGAAGCCATCGAGCCTATCGGTGACGACACAGAGGAACTCTCAATGAAAGCACCAATGTCGGTGTCAAAACCGGCGGATCTCGGGTAGGGGGTCCCGAACTGTGCATCTAGGAGGATGGTAATAGGAGACAAGGGACACGATGTTTTACCCAGGTTCGGGCCCTCTTGATGGAGGTAAAACCCTATGTCCTGCTTGATTAATATTGATGATGTGTGTTACAAGAGTGGACCTACCACGAGATCAAAGAGGCTAAACCCTAGAAGCTAGCCTATGGTATGATTGTTGTTCGTCCTATGGACTAAAGCCATCCGATTTATATAGACACCGGAGAGGGCTAGGGTTACACAGAGTCGGTTACAATGGTAGGAGATCTACATATCCGTATCGCCAAGCTTGCCTTCCACGCCAAGGAAAGTCCCATCCGGACACGGGATGAAGTCTTCAATCTTGTATCTTCATAGTCTTGGAGTCCGGCCGATGACGATAGTTCGGCTATCCGGACACCCCCTAGTCCAGGACTCCCTCACTCACCCTATTCTCTCCTTGAGACAACACCACGAAGGCGTTTCTCAACCACTAGTGGTAGACCTTGGGGTGGTCTCCAAACCCTCACAAACTTTCCGGGGGAAATCACAATGGTCGATTCCTCGCCGGAGCACTCCTACCGCCTAGGAGTCTCCAACCTCCAAGAGTAACAAGAAGCACCACAAAAACAAGGGGGGAATCAACTTTCGCTTTGGTGAATGTGTAGATCAAGAACTTCTCCTTCGCTTCCCAAAAGATCAAGAACTTTGGTTGGCTAGGAAGGGAGATCTCCAAGAAATCGAGGTCTGAAAATGGAGGTGAGAGAAATGGAGTCGTCAAGTCCTTCGTGAGGAAGAAGACGACTATTTATAGGTGGGGATGAAATCTGGCCATTGGAGGTAGATTTCTGCGTAGCCCGGAAGTTCCGGACACAGACGGAAGTTCCGGCCAGGTTCTGGGCTACACAGAGAGTTTGCACCACTCAGTAGTACCCCGGAAGCTGCAGAAACCGGGGACGGAAATTCCGGAGCCCGGAACTTCCGGCCGCCCTGGAAGTTCCGGGCTATGGAAGTTCCGGTCAGGGTCCGGCGAGGTTCCGGGCTACACAGAGAGGTTGCACAAAAGTGCAGTTTCTCTGGGTACCTCGGAAGCTTCCCGGACCCTTCCCGGACATTCCGGTCCCCGGAAGTTTCGGCCGTCCCGGAAGTTCCGGCCTGAACAGAAACTTGGCACTAGGATTTTTAGATCAATGTGAGAAGGTAAGTTGATTCCCCGGATGTTTTTATGATGCACCCCCTCTTAATAGTGCGGATGCCCTAAGGACTCAAGAAATAAGAAAACTTTAAGGCACTCTTCTCTTCTTGAGCGCACCGCTTCCCCTTTTTACAATAAGAGAGGAAATAACCATCCATGCTTCACTTTTAGCTTAATCAGGGCTGTTAACACTTAGAGCATGTGGTTAGAAACACAAATGAAGTTGTCATCAATGTCAAAAATACTTTAGTGCAATGTTGCACTTTCAGCGTGGTGTCGACATCATCCTCTCCACCGTCGCCCATACCCTCGTCCGCACGCGCTGACCTCCGTGATCCACATTGGCTCGCCGTGATGCGCGAGGAGTTTGATGCGTTGCAGCGCAACCGCACGTGGAATCTTGTGCCGCGACCCCCTCACGCCAACGTCATCGGTGGCAAATGGGTGTTTCGCCATAAGACCAACCCGGACGGTTCTCTCGAGCGCTACAAGGCTTGCTGGGTGGTGCGCGGCTTCCGCCAGCGCGCCGGAGTGGACTTCACCGGCACCTCCGCACCGGTTGTTAAACTGTGCACGATTCGTACGGTGCTTCAGCTAGCGGTCTCCCGTGCCTGGCCTGTGCACCAGTTGGATGTCTCCAACGCTTTCTTGCACGACCACCTCACAGAATGGGTCTTCTGCGAGCAGCCGACTGGTTTCGTCGACGCCGAGCATCCCGATAATGTCTGCCTGCTCTCTCGGTCCCTTTATGGACTGAAGCAGGCCCCCAGGGCGTGGTACCAGCGGATGGCTGGGTTCTTACAACAACTTGGTTTTCACACAACCCGCTCCGACGCATCACTGTTCGTCTATCATCAGGGCACTGCTACTGCATACCTGCTACTCTATATGGACGACATTATCCTGACTGCATCCTCGTCCGAGCTTCTTCAGCAGCTCACGGCTCGTCTTCGTGACGAGTTTGCCCTCAAGGATCTGGGAGCGCTGCACTACTTCTTTGGCATCGAGGTCGTCCGACGTGCCGACGGGTTCTTTCTGCACCAGCAGAAGTACGCTCATGAGCTTCTTGAGCGCACGGGTATGCTTAATTGCAAAACCGCGTACACGCCTGTTGACACCAAGGCGAAGGTTTCTGCCTTGGAGGGTTCTCCTGCTCCGGATACGGCGTTCTACCGCTCCATCGTCGGCGCCCTGCAGTATCTCACCCTCACTCGGCCTGACTTGTAGTATGCAGTCCAGCAGGTGTGCCTCCACATGCACTCCCCGCGTGATTCTCATTAGACTCTTGTGAAGCGTATTCTTCGGTATATACGCGACACTATGACCATGGGACTCACCCTGACGGCCTCCTCCTCCATAGACATGGTCGCCTACTCCGACGCTGATTGGGCTGGCTGCCCGGACACGCGTCGCTCTACGTGAGGCTATTGTGTCTACCTCGGGCCCTCACTGATATCGTGGTCGTCTAAACGACGACCCACGGCCTCTCGGTCGAGTGCCGAGGCGGAGTATCGGGTAGTGGCTAACGCCGTTGCTGAGTGCTCTTGGCTCCGTCAGCTTCTTCAGGAGTTGCTTTGTGTGGTTCCCAAGGCCATGATCATCTACTGTGACGACGTCTCCGCCGTCTACCTCTCCGCTAACCCCATCCACCATCGCCATACGAAGCATATTGAGATCGACATTCACTTCGTTCGCGAGCAGGTGGCTCTCGGGAAGGTTCGTGTTCTACACGTTCCTACCACACAGCAGTTTGCCGATGTCATGACTAAGGGACTACCGACCTCAGTCTTTGAGGAGTTTTGGTCC